ATTTATTTTCTGGTGCTTTCACTTCCTGAGACAGTTGTAAGCACTGTGTAACTGCCTCGAGGGTTCTCGACAATTGTAACACAGCGTGGTGCGATCATCCCCCTTGCGCGGAGTGAGGCCCGCACAACATGATCTACTCGACCACCATTATGGTTACCGCCAAAAAAACAACAGAGGTAACAAACAAAACGGTAACCTGGTTGCCGAGTTCACGAAGTGAAGTGGCTTGTTTTANTTGCCGAGCTCACGAAGTGAATTGGCTTGTTTTACAACGTCGTTGCCAAGCGACGAAAACCCAACCCCGATGGCAAACACCGGGGGGGGGGAAGGGGGGAGGGGGTTCTGTGTTTCGTGTCGGGAGAGACGGTCGTTTCTACCTGTGCGTTTGGACAACACTGCTGCGGCTACGCGTAGCTGTTGTTCCCGGCTGAGTGGTGTTTCCTTACAACAACCAAATGTAGTTTGTTACCGCGGTTGTGGGTCGTCTCCATGACCGACGTCGCTGACGGTCATGGGCGAGGGCATGCTGTTGTGGGTGGACATTCAATACACAGAACGACGTTCGGAAGGGTATGTATGTATTGTTTCAATTTGAAGTACCTTTTTTTGTGGTTCTCGCTTACGGGTAATCGTGCAACTTGGGATGTTGACGACCCTGGGTAGAGATGATAAGCCTCGGGCGGAGATGGGTTTCAGCTAGAGCTACTGGCAATGTGTATGATGCATGGGCACGGGATGTCGTTGTTTCAGAGGTTTGCTCGGGAATGTAACGACGGTAAAATTGTGATGATTCGAATAGTCTACAGGGGCGAAAAAACAAATGAAACACCAACAAAAATAACGTATTGCAGGCAAAATGAACCCGCCACTTACAGTGTTCAGCACGGCATGCAGTTTGTTGTAGACCGGCCGCATCGTGCGCAGTCTATAAGAGAGGATACGCGTTGCAATACCATCGGTAACCTGCCCCCCTCACCGGCTTGTGTACAACGCGTCAACCTGCAAGAAAGGGTACCCCTTGCACGGTTACCGGCAACCTGCCCCCCAACCGGCTTGTGCGTAGTGCGCCAACCTGCAAAAAAGGGTACACCGTGTCATACCATAGGCAACCTCCCCCCTGACCGACTTGTGCATGGCGCGCCAACCCCCAAGAAAGGGTGCACCTTGCGCTGACATCGGCAGCCTACCCGCTGTCCAGCTTGTAAGCAGTGCACCAACCACAAGAAATGGCACCTTGCACCGCCATCGACAGCTTGACCCCGATATCCGGGTTGTTAGNTGTGCATGGCGCGCCAACCTCCAAGAAAGGGTACACCTTGCGCTGACATCGGCAGCCTACCCGCTGTCCAGCTTGTAAGCAGTGCACCAACCACAAGAAATGGTACACCTTGCACCGCCATCGACAGCTTGACCCCTATCCGGCTTGTTAGCAGCGCACCAACCGCCAAGAAAGGGTACACCTTGCGCCGCCATCGGCAGTCCGCCCCCTGTCCAGCTTGTTAGCAGTGCACAACCACCAAGGAAGGGTACACCTTGCACTACCATCGGCAACCTGCCCCCTGTCCGACTTGTAAACAACGCGCAACCTCCGAGAAAGGTACCCTGCACAACCTGGCCATCGTTGCATTGTGAGGATTACCCAAGGTGGGGAGGTTGCAACTCGTGCCAAGAAAAATCTCGATTCAGGATGCCAAAAGTGCCCCTACAACCCGATGTATTGGCCACCCGTGTCTCATTTACGGATCCGAGAATTATTTGTTTTCGTCAAGCCCCGAAGTTTTACAGAATCTGCGTATGAGTACCTCCAGGGTGGGTGGGGGGGGGGGGG